CAGTTCTCCAAGTTTCTGACACTCAACTCACTCACTCTAGGACCCGGCAGCAGGGTTGTTGCCGAGTAAGCTGAGTTTAGGGCTGCACATATGTAAAGTTGTTCAAACTTAAAACAGTTGTGGCTTCTCTGTAATAACTCTTTCCCTGAAATCATGTAGAAAGGGCATAATGTGTAGTTCTTTGGGAGAAAATAAGACCAGAAGGACATGCTGTTTGGGAATTTCTCTGTAAGGCAACTCTGTGCAATGCAGCCAAGGATTGGGAACTTGAACCTCAAACTTTGAAGTGTGTTTGTTCTAGCCCCCCTCTCCTTGCTGTGTGTTACAAATATCATATAAATAAAATATACTCCTTAAATTCCTTAATGGACTTTTCCCAGAATTCCATTCTTTTTTGTCATTTCTTTTTTAAGCTGCTTTGCTCCCAGTGCCTGCTGATATAGTCTATGGATTCCGTTTAGTGAGCAAAAGAGACTCTTAGCAAGACCTGCTTGGTAGGTCTGATCTCTTTTCTGGAATGGACTTTGTCAGGAAAAAAATTCCCCTTCTATTATTAATCTATACAAGTAGAGTACCACATATAAACAAACCTATTCTAAATAACCAAGCAGAGGAGTTTTTCTTTGGTCTATTGTGACACTATACTTGGCAAGTTCTCCCTAAAACTCTAGATGCACTGATTGACTCTAGAAGGAGCCAGTAAGTGTAATGAAATTGATGAGCTTCTACTGAAAGAGGAAAAAAATGTATGATTATAGAGTGTAATTCTTCATGAAGGAGAAGATGAAAGGAGTTTCTCTTTCCCATAGGTTACTAAGGGTGAACTATTTTTTGTTCTTACCCACTGACACACCTAGAGGCTAGCCTCACCTGCTTTGTCCTTCCCTGTGTAATGATGGAAAGAGAAGGAAGTATATGCCAAGTTCTGAGAAGCTAAGAACTATGATACTCCACTCACCCATTGTACTGCCCATCCCTTATCACAGGGAAGGAGCTCAACGAGACAAAAAGCAGGCTCTATTCGAGGGAAAAGTAGCATATTCTTATTCTCTGATAAATGGTTTGACAGCAAATTCACACAAGATGGAATGAATGCAAAAATTCTGCCTTATGTATAATTACATTTCTATAACTTTACTCAGTTTCTTCACTTAACAAATAGATGAGGACCTGTTATTTCCAGGAGCTTCTCTAAGTGTTTGATATAGAATTCTGCACTCTATTGGCATCAGGGATCTAGTTCAAAGTAAACAGAATATATATGAGACCCTGGGTTGGAACTATGCAAAACAAAAAATTAACCCACGGTTGTGTACACTATATTATTATAGGCAGGAAATAATAGTAGTAGTAGTAGTAGTAGTAGTAGTAGTAGTAGTAGTAGTAGTAGTAGTAGAAAAATAAATGTGATTAGAGGCTCTAAAGTTGGAGGCAAGGATTGTCTGGAAAGGTTCCCCTGGGTGGCAACATTTGAGGAGAGGCCTGAATAAAATCTGGGAGTGGTTTAGGCAGATATTTCAAAGGCTCTCCCCAGAGCCCTGAGTTGAAAGAGTTCTTGAAAATAACAAGAAACAATGCAAATAAGCATGGTGGCCACAAGGGAGAACATACTAGAAATTCTTCCGTCTGCCTAAGAAATGAAAATGGAGAAACAAGGTTATATTTGACTCTGTAGACTATCATATGGATTGGGAATTTCAATCCAAGTATATTTGGGAGCACCAGGGGACAGCACAAGAAAGTGACATTAAGGGATTTGCTTTGTAAAATGACCGTTTAAACTGTAATGGGTACAAGAGACGGTAGGGGAGCTTGTGCAGAATCAAGAAGGTCAGGGCATAGAGTGGTAGTATAGTGGGTAGGGCATTTGCCTTGCATGCAGTCAACCGGTATGATCTCTCAAGCACTGCTGGGAGTAATTCCTGAGGGCAGAGCCTGAAGTAACCTCTGACAAAAAATAGAGAGAACAGGCTTAGCAAGGGGAATATTGGGGTTTGCTTTCAGAAATTAAAACATGGAGACACCAAGTAGTTGTGAGAAGCAGGGTGTATGAACTGGAAAACAATGGTACCATCACTGTCACTGTCATTGTCACTGTCCTCCAGTTGTTCATCGATTTTCTCAAGCAGGCCCAGTACCGTCTCCATTGTGAGACTTTTATTGTTACTGTGTTTGGCATTTCGAATACGCCACGGGTAACTTGCCAGGCTTTGCTGTGCAGGTGAGATACTCTCGGTAGCTTGCCATGCTGTCCGAGAGGGGTGGGGGAATCGAACTTGGGTGGGCCATGTTGGCTGCATGCAGGGCAAACGCCCTACCTGCTGTGCTATTGCTCCAGCCCCTGGTATGGTACCATGCCCACAAGAATAAAACATCTTATTTTTCTCCCCACATTTTGGCCCACACCCAGCAGTGTTCATGGCCTACTCCTTGCTCTGTGCTCAGGGATTACTCCTAGTGGTGCTCAGGAGATCATATATAATCCTGGGGATCAAACCCAAGTTGGGTTTGTGCAAGGCAAGAGCCCTACCCACTGTACTATCTCCTCAACCTGAGGGAAATAACTCTTATAACTAACTCTGTTTTTGTTCTCCATTTGCTCCACAGGGCATGACTTCAGTTTCTTCCATCTAAAGTGACAATAATTGTTATCCCCTGTTGGGTTCTCCTCAAAGAAGAGAGATGAGACACTACATGCAAGATCAGAACATGTTACCAACTCTTGGAAGAATTCTATGACCCCCAGAGCAGGGAGATTTGTACTTATGTGATTCAGTTCTTGAGGGCAGCTTCTGTCTTCTAATTCTTCTCTTTCTTGGAACTAGCAGGTACAAGGCTCAGTCAACTACTGCAACTTACTCACTGTCTTTATCATTTTTGCTTCAATCATTAAATGGAATCTAATACCAGGTGATAGATATTTGAAAATGTTGTTTTTGTTTGTGTTTTTTTTTGGGGGGGGCCATACCTGGTGTTGTTAGGGGGCTTGTGCCAGGGATTGAAACCTGTGCCTTCTGAATGCAAAACATGTGCTCCAGTCTGTTGAGTTTTTACTCCTGCCCTGAAAATATTTCTTAAGACAAGGCCTGTCTAATATTGCCTGTCTCTATTGCTTGTGGAGAGGTATTTCCAGAAAAAAAGTGTCATTTCTTTCTGAAACCATTACAACGACACCTCAATGACACCCATAGACTTGGAGATAAAGTCTCAATTTTTCAGCATGTCTCATAAAACAATACCTGACATGAATTTTCTTATCACTCCTTATTTTGTTGCTTTTAAAATAGCTCTAGATATTAACCATTTTCCTATTTATTTTTTGTTTGAGGTTGCAGCGGGGGGGGCGCAGTAGGGAGAGACATACCTGGCAGTACTTAGGGCTTACTCCTGGCTGTGTTGAGATCATTCCTAGAGGGGCTCAGGGCCCATATGAGCTTTTGGGGAGCAAACCTGGGTTGGCTTCATGCAAGGCAAGTGCCCTACCCATTGTCCTATGGCTCTGGTCCTGTATTTAGTTTCTACTTTGTGTTGTATTTCCTTCACATGACCTTCCTTGCTTCATCAATCTAGTGAACTTCTACTGATCTTTCAAAGTTCTGGTTCAAGAGTTTCCTCCTTTATGAAGAATTTCTAGGTCCATCCAAGCAAAACTTTATTTTACAATGGCACTATTATTTAATTTCTTCAATGCAATGCTGTCACACCAGATGGCAGTCATTAAAAAAATTTCATATCCCTGACTGTATTTTGGTCTCCTTTGGGATAGAGGCCTAAGAAATCATCCTTTCTGTTCTCCATCAGTAACTCAGATGAGGTAGACAGCAGAAACTGAAAACATTTTGGCTTCCTGAATGGGTTAGAATACAAGATCCTCAAGTACTCCAAAACAAGATCTTCAATAATGTCTGTTAGATGCCAGGAATAATTGCCTATGGAAGTTTGCCACAAGTGTACGTGGGGCCGAGGGCAGTTAGGACACTATAATTGTAAATGATCACTCCGGCAAGAACTGAGTGCTGAAAATAGGTAAAAGGATGTACATGACAACATGATATCCTTTCAGGGTGTGCAAACCACAATGCCCGAAAGGAATGAAAGAGGTTGGGGGAAGTGCCTGTAACAGAGGCTGGCAATGGGGTCAGGAGAGAAACTAGGACATTGGTGGAGGGAAATGTACACTGGTGAAGGGATGGGTACTGGAACAATGTATAACTGAAACCGGATCACAAACAACTGTAATTGTGTATCTCATGGTGATTCAATTAAAAAAAACTTTTTAAATGGTCTGTTGTTGTATCTCAGGGTTATTCAATAATAAAAAAAATTTTAGAGTATCTCGCCCGCATGGCAGAAACTGGCAAGCTATATGTGACATATTCAATATGCCAAACACAGTAACAACAAGTCTCACAATGGAGATGTTACTGGGCCTGCTCGAGCAAATCGATGAACAACGGGAGAACCGTGCTACAGTGCTACCAAAAAAAAAAGTCTATGGTGAGACAATCTTTGTCCACTGAAAATTCCATTTGCCTGAATGGTGAATGCTATATCTTTCTTAGGGGGAGGAGGGCTTCCATTAGGTTGAGTTTCCATGGACTTGCCAAGGAGATGACTTATCCCATAGTGGTCTCTGCCCACAGCTTCCCCGGAGAGCTCATGACAGCTTCATAAGGTAATCAGTAAATCTGGTTGTCTTCGATGCATCCAGAATGTCTCAGAATGCCCCCGGGGTGTGAGTACTCGTGCTGGGTACGAGGATGACACAGCCCTGTTAAGCTTGGGTGATCTTAACCTAGTAAGGTTGCAGCCCAGGGTCCAAGGGGATCACCTGCAGTGTGACTGGAAACACCTAGGAACATTCAGGACCCCATAATCCAGCCTTTGCTTGAGTAAAGCTCTTACCTGGCTCCTTGAAAGGAAGTGCACGTGGCACGTGGTGTGGAGGCATGAGGAGGCATGAGGAGCAGGGTCACGCCCGCTGTGGACCCAGGACCCACCTGAATGAGATGCGCGGCACTTTCTGGGCTGCCGTACCGCAGGTCATGTCCATTGATGGCCAGCACACGGTCGTTCTCCTCCAGCTGCCCGTGGCGCCCCGCAACTCCTCCATCCAGCACGTTAAAAATGAACACCCCGGGCTCATCCACCTTGCGCACCAGTTTTATGCCGAGCTGCTCCTCGGGGCTGCTTTTGTGAAGGATGACGTGGAAGCTGTCCTCGCGCAGGGCGTAGTTGTCCAGGGCCTGGCTGGTGCTCCTGCTGCGGTACTTCTGTTCCCGCAGCACCGTCAGCCGCAGGACTTGGCACGGCTGCCGCAGGAGGCGCAGCGCATAGTTGTGCCGGACGTTGCTGATATCCATCCCGTTGACCTGCGGGGGAAGGAGGCCTCAGAACTGGGAGCCACAGACCCATTGGTTCCACCCACTCCCTAATACAAGACTCTGCTTGGCCACGTCCTTATCCTGAGTCCAAAAATCCCAGTCCTCCAACATCACTTATTTTTTCTTTTTGGGTCACACCCCGTGATGCTCAGGGGTTACTCCTGACTCTGCACTCAGAAATTACTCCTGGCAGTGCTCGGGGGACCATATGGAATGCTGGCAAACAAACCCGGGTCAGCCGCATGCAAGGCAAAAGCCCTACCTGCTATGTAATCTCTCCAGCCCCCTCCCCCCAACCACTTTTAAGCCCATTTGAGTGCCACCTGGTACCTCTCTGAGGAGGAACCTGCTCAACCTGGTCTACTCAGAGGACCCCAGTTTGTTGATGGAGTCCTAGCCTCCCTTCTGTTGTTTGCTAGGCTTAGCTTGTAGCTGGTAGATGGAGGAAGAGGTAAAACAAAGAGAGAGAGTCCAAAGAAGGAGAATTTTCCCCATTAAGCTCAAAGATGATGATAATGACAATGATGAATGATGATTTGCAGTGTCAGGGATGGAAGGGTCTCACACCTGAAGGCTTTACTACTGAGCTATATCTCTGGCCCTCAAACGATAATCTTATTTAAATTTTGATTTGGGGGCTACAATCAGCATTACTCAGGGCTTACTCTTGACAATATTTGGTGCCGGGGATCAAACCCAGCTAGGCTGACCCACTCTACCATAACTTCCTCCAGCAAATGACTGTTTTCAACAGCTGCTCAGATCAAACAGGGGAGACATTTTCTTTTGCTTTGAGGGCCACACTCGGCTGTGCTCAGGGGTTATTCTTGGCTTAGTGCTTGGGGTTGCTCCCTGCTGTGTTCAGAGGTCCTTGTGTTGCTGGTGACTGAACCTGGGCTTCCTGCATGCAAAGCATGTGCACATCCCATTGAGCGCTCTCTGGCTCCAGGCAGATATTTTCTTTCACATTTCTAAATAAATTTTTAATCTTGGGTCATTTAGACTGGACTTTACAGACCTGATGACTGTGTGTATATATACCTCTGTGTGTGAGAGATGGGATGTTTATGTGAGTAAGTGTGTGAACATATTTGGTGGTGTGTGACTATGTGAGAGTGACAGAATGCATGTGTGTGATATTGTGCATGTGTGCATACATGTGTGTGGTCTCAGGATAGTCACCTTCAGAGTCTTTGACCCATATGCTCAACAACAACAACAATAACAACAAAAACCCTGCATTTTCAAACAATCTCATGTGAATGAAAGTTTCTAGGGTCTTTGATAAATGTGATCACATTATTGTGCTACTTCAGTGCTCTCTAGTTTGGCCCTTTTATTTGTGCCTGCTCCTGCTCTGCTGGACTTTCTGACTTTCATTACTCTAGCTGGGCAGCTCAGTTGAAGGCTCTCAGTTGCAGTGGTAGCTGGTTTCTGGAAGAAAAGTATTTTGTAGCAGTGCTACTCTCTGTGCTTAAGGACAGAGATGTCACCAAAGAGAAACAACCTTTTTGAACGTTTGGATTTTTTGTTGGAACAGCTTGGATTTTTGTACCTTCCACCAGTGGTTAGAAGAATCTTGGATTGAGACTGTGTAACGCCTCTCTGGAGCTTACAGTCACCCATCTAAGTGCCCAGCAGATGGACAGGGAAGATGGGGCTTTCCTTCTGAACAGACAAAGCTCACCACCATTGACTAAGCATAGGTGAGTTTAAATCTCCTCTTCTCTGTCACCTTAGTTCGGGTCAAGAGAAGGTGTTGCTGTCCTTTGGGCAGTGAAAGGTAGCTGAGTGTGCCATGTATCAATTTGCTTTATTATGTGACCTTTTCAGGCAGCCTAAGTCCCCTTGGAGCAGGGAGAGAGCAGTGTACACATTGCTAGCTGCAAAGCTGATTATGTCTGGATCTTGGGGGGTCCTTCCTTATTCCCCACATCAGAGGTCAGTGAGACATTCAGAGTTTGTACAATAATTGCTTCAGATTCTATCTCCTAAGATTTCCCTTAAATCAGAATTTCTTTGCCAAAGAAACAACTCTTTCTGTATCAGCAGCTGGTTCTTCGTGACTTATCAGGAATGAGATGGAATTGTTGTTTTCTTAGTGTTGGGGTCCCACTTGGCTTAGCTCAGGACTTACTCCTGGCTCAGAGCTGAGGGATCACTCCTGGTGGGCTCAGGGGACCATATAGGGTTCGAGGGATTGAACCTGGGTTGGACATGTGTAAGGCAAGTGCCATACTCACTGTTCTATCTCTCCAGTCCTGAAATTGTCATTTAAGCATGATATGGAAAATACAGGATAGGTAAGGGACTGTTTGTCACTTTAGTCCCACATTTGATTTCAGTCTGATAAACTAATTTTCCTTTCTCTTTCCTTTTCTTCTGAAAGTTCTTCCTCCAAATCTTTCTCTCAAACCAAGCCTCAAAAGAGAGTAAAGTGCAAGACATTTTGTTCCCACTACCCTGCCTAGAGGGGAATTTGATGGGAACTTCTTGAGAATTATTACTACTTTTCCCAAGGAGGCTCATTAAACTAAAGGAAATTTGCTTTAGAGGGCTGTTGTGATTAGAGAAAACACAAAATGCCCCCATGAATCTGCTCTGAAAACAACTTAAGAAAACATATTCTTCCAGTCCTATATTACTTTATGTTATTGTTATTTAAAGTAGGGGGAAAAGTAGGAAAAAAGGAAGGAGAAGGGAGGAAGAAGAAAGAGGGGGAAAGAAAAGGGAAGGGGAGGAAGGCGATGAAATATATTTATATACAGGAAGAAAGTGGGAGAGGACAAGAAAAATACAGTGACAACTTGCTTAATGAATTTGAGGAGTCATAGACATATAATAGTGATCGAAGGTATGACTCCATATTTGAATATTTTATTCAATCATTCATTCACCCATCCAATTATTTTCTCTGAAATGGTTTTTGTGAGGCCCCTCTTATGTGAGACCCTAGCTGAGCCCCTACCTTTAATATGATATCTCCTGGCAGGAGCCGGCCATCTCTGGCGATCACACCGTCGCGATAAATGTGTTGGATGATGATATGAACCAACGGGGTCTCGCTGCCTCCCACCAGGCGAATGGACAGGCTCTCATTGGGATCCACTCGATTAATCTTGATGCTGGTGATTTCACCATCTGGAATCAGGTGGTGCAACCTTGGGAAGACTAAAATGGACCAGGACAGTGTTTATCAAAATAAGCATCAATCCGACAGACATTTCCTGCCACTCTTCTTTTGATCAAAACTTGGTAGAAGCCAAACCAAGCTATTCATTGGTTTCCTTGCCTCTAAACCAGTGTGAGTCCCTCTCACTGGAATGGTGGTTATTCTAGAATATTTTTCCTTCATAACTTCTCTAAGAATGAAATGATCTCTTCTGATTAAAAGCTACCCCCATCTTTCTAAAGCAGGATATTCCAAGAGGGCTACAAGTGAAACATTTTATAAATGGGCAGAGAGGGGATGACATGAGACTAGGGGACTAACTGATAAAAGGGAGGCCTAGGAAGGAAACAAGGCAGCCATGGTCTGCGTAGGATTGAGAAACACTGGTCCGAGCATCCCATGTCCATAAAGTTCTCAACCCACTATTGCTATTTGTACTCATTTCTTATATTTTCCACTGGACTAGAAGATCCCTGAAGACTAGTTCTGCCTAGACTTCAGCTGATGCTTATCAAGTGAATGTGGTCGCATGAATGAGTTCATGAAAGAGTGAACTGCACTTTTATCACTCACTTACAGAGAGATGAAACAGAACAAATCCACTCTTCTACCCTCTCAGATTGTTTTGAAGATTTCTTGCTGGAAGCCTCCACATTTCTAAAGCATAAAGTGACAGTCCTTCCCACCAAATGTTTGTCAACGAAGGGATGGTCAAAGGTCCTGATTCATGATCAAGAGAAGATCCTTGGTTGGCCTAAAATCTCAGAGTTTCAAGTTGAAAGCAGATTCAGATCACCCAGGCTGGTGTTTTGATATTTTAATCTGAGAACTCTGCTTGTTCCATGGGATCTTTCACAGCCTGACTGACCCCCTCTGCCCACCTCATCCTCTTACATCCCTCATCCCTGTACCTACAGACAGAAGAGTTGTCCTAGCTGTGTAGCATCAATGTCAGAGACCTCTCTTAGGGCCACGGATAGAGATCCGTGGTTGACGGTAGCACTGTCTGTAGCACTGTCCTCCAGTTATTCATCGATGTGCTCAAGTAGGCACAAGTAACGTCTCCATTATGAGACTTGTTACTGTATTTGGCATATTGAATATGTCATGGGTAGCTTGCCAGGCTTTGCCGTGCGAGCAGGATACTCTCGGTAGCTTGCCAGTCTCTCTGAGAGGGGCAGAGGAATCGAACCTGGGTCGGCCATGTGCAAGGCAAACACCCTACCCACTGTGCTATTGCTCCAGCTCCAGTGGTTGAAGGTAGGTCTTATAAATTGGAGACTCTTGGTTCTACCCTCCCCCATCTTCCACTCCATACCATAAAAGAAAACTGTCTTGTGCAAATGAGGGATTTGAGCTCAGATAAGGGAGGTGATGTGATTGATGGCTGGAGATGACCAAATTATGAGACCTTTAGAACCCAGAGTTCCCAATGATCTGGTCTCTTGTATCTCCCTCAGGCTGTCTGTGACTAAGAGTTTCACACCCAGGACAATCCTATAGGGAATTTGACCTACGGACCTCTAAGCCAGCAGTTCCAAATGTCCTTCACTGGGCTGGAGCAATAGTACAGAGGATTAAGGCACTTCCCTTGCACGCAGCCAGACCAGGTTCAATCCTAAGCATCCCATATAGTCCCCCAAGCACTGTCAAGAGTGATTCCTGACTGCAGAGCCAGGAGCAATCCCTGAGCATCACTTGGTGTGACCCCAAAACCAAACCAACAAACCAAATGCTTTCCCCCTCCCTTTAAATGGAAGGTTTCCAAAGGAATCCCATGAAATGCTGTAAAATACTGTCTAAGCTGCTCCTGGTTTGGAAAGAAGTGACTCCCTAAGAGATCCTTTGGCAGCCTGAGGCTGTTTGGTGTGGTGAGGGTAGGGGAGGGAACAGCTGTCTCCATAACTGCTGAAGCTGTCTTTGAGCTAAGATTCTCTTTTACTTGTATCTTCTGGGAAAATCAATCTGCAGGCTGGCTTTTGCCTAATGCATTCTTCAGGATCATTTTCAAAACCCATATCCTGAGTCTGTTCTCCCTAATGAACTATAAACTCATTAATGACTACTCAACTACCTAGCAACAATGCAGAAAGGAGGAAAATGATTTCCTTTTTGGGGAGTGGGGGCACACCCAGTGATGCTTAGAGGTTACTCTTGACTCTGCGTTCAGGGATCACTCTTGGTGGAGCTTGGGAGAGATGGATAGAACACAATAGGACACCAAAGATCAAACCTGGTTCAGCTGGGTATAAGGGAAGTGCCTACTTGTACTATTGCTCCGGTCCAGATAATGATTTCTAAGTATTATAGAACGTGATAAAGTCACTTAACAGTCAGAGGCAACCTGTGACATTATAATTGTGGGTTTTGAAGCCTCAGTAGGATTTAATTTTGTTAAGATATTGGTTTGGTTATAAGTCATGTTTAGAAATCTGTCGATACTATCTGTTCTTGGTGCTAACAGTATTGATTGGGCTCAATCAACTTTTTTTTTTGCCTTTTTGGGTCACACCCAGAAATGCTCAGGGGTTACTCCTGGCTCTGCACTTAGGAATTATTCCTGGCGGTGCTTGGGGGACCATAAGGGATGCCGGGGATAGAACCAGGGTTGGCCGCGTGCAAGGCAAACGCCCTACCCGCTGTGCTATTGCTCCAGCCCCTTGGGTTCAATCAACTTTTAAACCTACTTTGATTCCATAAAGTAGGTAATGATGACAGTCACTTATTGGGATCAGCTTGGTGATACGAGAAAAAAAATTAAAAAAAATTTTTTTGAGCAAAGAAGATGTGGAAATCAGTATCAAAGATGCTGCCTTTTCCTCCTTTCTCCTCCATCCTTTTCTTACCCTGCCATACCACAACTTTCCAAAACCATATTTTTAACCCTCAAGCCCCTCAAGGCCACTGAATTGGGTAGTCAGCAAGAACCTGTACAGCAATACTTGCAAGAAATGTTAGTTGGAGGCACAACAATGAACCTCAGAACCTGAAGACAGAAACACTTAATCTTGTGCTGGTTTAGAAAGAAATGGAGTTGGTGGGACTGTCTCCTCACTGAGGACTAAAGGAAACAATTATTATCTACCAGAACTTTATTATGTACCGTGCAGCAAGCTAAGCAATTCACACATCAAGTTTTGGATTAGTTCTCACACAATCTTATAAAATTTATTATTATTATTATTATGCCTGTTTTTTTATTCCTAGATGAAAAAAAGGCCCTGAGGAAGTAACAAGGTGAAGGTCACATAGCTAGTCAGCAGTAGGTCTCATCTCTCCATGGATAGAAAAAGGTAGAAAAGTCACACGGCCATTGCTCAGCTACTGTCAGTGTTTCTCAAGCTTTTCCCCACCATGGTCCCCTTTCTACCTCGTTTCCTTTCTGTAGCCCACTGTCCTACCTGTTGACCCTTTTGTTTTGTGCCCTGGTCTTTATTGGTGTGATATTTTCACTTGTGACCCCTTTGGAGTATCCTGGAGACCAATGAAGCTCAGAGTTAAGCTTCATTTTGTGACCTCAAAAATCTTGTAGAGAAGTGGTTCTCCATCTCACTCTGACTTAGTACCATGCCCTCTCCTGGGGTGGTAGCTTCCGTGGGCATTTGGGGCAATCACAGGTTCTCCCAGAATGCCCAGATGCATCGATTCTGCTGTTTCACCTTCGGGCATTGGGCTTAGAGTGAAGCAAGCTCGCAGGGGTATGTATGCCTGACTCTAAATCAAGCCCAGGACCCTGAGGGTTTTCCTCCCTCTCTTTGACCTGGCCTCAGTTAAATTCAGGCCTCTCTGCTCATCACACTTCTTCAAACTTACATGGTTCTCTTTAGAAAATGATGCTTCTGGAGATTCTCTGCCATTGTCATTTATATCTCATGCGTTCAGATGGTTTAATTTTATTTTAAAAATGGGGGGAGGGGTTGGGCCACACCTGGTGGTTATTCAGATCTTACTCCTGACTCTGAACTCTGGGATTACTCCTGGTAGGGCTCAGGGGACCATATGTAGTGCTGGGGATTGAATCCCACTTGGTTGTATGCAAGGCAAACACCCTACCCACTATACTATCTCTCCAGCCCCAACATGTTTTTATTTTAGCCTCAAAAAAATCCCTTGAAGCCAGAAACTTGGTTCTATAATCTTTACATAAAAGTTCAGAGCCCAGACCAATGCTTTACTATAGGATTCTCAAAATGTTTCTGCAGGGATTGAGACATAGCAGGGAATAAGGTTCTTGCCTTGCAGGTGACTGGTTCTATCTTCAGTACTGCCAGGGGTCAGTCCCTAACACAGAACAGGGACTGTCCCCTAGCACCTTTGGATTGTAGCTCCAAACCCCTTCAAAAATGCTTATGCAATAAGATCTTGGCTATTTATAAGTAGGGAATGTCCCCTGGAACCTCTGGGCTGTAGCCCCAAACTTCTCCAAAATGTTTATGCAATAAGATCTTGGCTATTGTGGATAAAGATGTGGCATATATACATCATGAAATACTACTGAGCTATGTAAGATGAAACCTTGCCATTTTGCAACAACATGAATGGAGCTGAAGGATAGGATGATAAGTGGAACAAATTAGAAAAACAAATACCAAATGATCTGACTTATATGAAGGATGTAAACAAATAAAGCAAGAAGACAGAGAAAGCCCCTCCAGAAGTAACACTTGATTCAAATAGCAGAACTGAAGCCAACAGACAGCAGGTAGAGAGGGATGGGGGTTAAAAATATCCAAGAGACAGTTGGGAGAAATAGCTCTTGAAGAGATGAGGAAAAAGCACTCCGAAACATGTGAAATAGACCAATGCTACCACAAGAAAAAAACATTTTCAATTAAAAAAAAATTTCCCTCAAGACACAGACAAATAGTTCAGGCAGGAGAAGATGTTACATACGATAAAATTAAGTAGTGTTTGATGACTGGTTAAAGAAACTTTGGTACATTTACACAATGGAGTACTATGTAGCTGTTAGAAAAGATGAAGTTATGAAATTTACATACAAGTGGTACTACATGGAAAGTATCATGTTAAGCGAAATGAGTCAGAAAGAGCGGGATAGACACAGAAAGATTGCATTCATCTGGGGAACATAAAGCAACAAAACGGGAGACTAACACCCAGGAAGGGCTCAGATTAGTACCAGGAATTTTGCTCCATGACTTGAAGGCCAGCCACATGTGCTAGGTGAGAAGGAAGCTCAGATAGAGAAGAGAGCACCAAATAAAGGGTGTTGTGAAGACCCTCCCAGGGTGGGAGAGACATGCTAAAAGTAGTCTATAGACCAAACATGATTGCCACTCAATGCCTCTCTGGCAAAACACAGTACCCAAGAGAGAGAGAACAAGGGGGAATGCCCTGCCATAGCGGCAGGGTGGGACGGGGGGGGGGGGGGGGTGGCGTGGGAGGGATGCTAGGACCCGTGGTGGGGGAGGATGGGCACTGGTGGAGGGATGGGTACTTGATCATTGTATAACTGAAACCCAAGCACAAAAATTTATAAGTCTATAAAAGTACTTCATGGTGTTTCACTAATAAAAAAAATGATGATAAAAAATAAAATAAAAAAAATTAAGTAGTGTTTAATAACAGGGAGAGACCTAAAGGAAGTCACTGTCCTCCTGTTGTTCATCGATTTGCTCGAGTGGGCCCAGTAACATCTCCATTGTGACAATTGTTACTGTGTTTGGCATATCAAAAAAGGAAGTCATTATCTTTTTTTGTTGTTGCACAAACATTTACTCAATGAAAATATATGGCAGATACTGTGTATTGCCACAAGAATGCCAAGACCAGGAAAAAGAACTTCTGTCCTTCTAGGTACAGTTATAATGAATGATGGCTATTGCTACTAGAGATGTAGGTTCTTGGAGAATATAAAGGAAGGCTGACTGAACAAGTCAGGGAGGACTTTCAAGAGGAGGAATGACTTATCACTGAGCCTCAGAGGAGGACTGCAAAGGACAGCTGAAGGGGAAAGGGAGTGCAGGCTGGACGGCACCAAAGAGAGGAGGGCAAGAGTCTGCACAGGACTGTACTATAGTCAGAGTAATCAGAGCAGAGGGTAAGTGATGAGTAAGCAAGCAAGGTGAGAGTGGAGACTTCTTTGAAGGCAGGTCAATTACAGGGGTTTGCACTCTACCTCCCAGTCCTTAGAGTGGAGGGCGCTATTATACCTGGTTAAGATAGTGTGCTCTGCCAGGAGGATTACTCCATAACTTAGAGGCCAGCCGGGTATCCTAGAGGAAAGGGCAGTTCAGATAGAGAAGGGAGCACCAAATAAAGGATGTTTGGAGGATCCTCCCAGGAGGGGAGATGCATGTCGAAAGTAGACTATGGACTGAACATGTTTGCCACTCAATGCCTCTTTTGCAGACCACAACACCCAAAAGGAGAGAGAGAACACAAGGGATTGTCCTGCCACAGAGACAGGGGGGATGGGGGGATGGGGGTGGGAGGGATATTATCCATGGTGGTGGAAAATGGGCACTGGTGGAGGGATGGGTATCTGATCATTGTATAATTGAAACCCAAGCACAAAAAATTGTAAATCTACAACTGTAAAAAAAAAAAAATAAAGGGAAAAAAAAAGATAGTGTGCTCTGGGACTAGGGATTCCAGTTAAAATCCTTAGCTCTACCATTTTTTAGCTTGGGGACTTTGGCTACTTATTTAATCTCATCAACTTTTATGTTGTTACTATGATTATTATTAATGTTTGCATATAAAATGTAAGATAAGAAAAGGAGTCGTACTGCCTCCATTTATGTCAAATGATACATTAAAGGAAAGCTCTGTTTCTATTAAGGAAAACACACAAAGATTAGTAACTTTCTTTGCATGAATTTTCGAGCCATATCCCTTTCATTCAACGTTTGGCAAGGTAACTAGAGCAAGGGAAGTTACTCCCTTATGTCTCAGTTTCCTAATGTATAAGACAGAAAAATAATGATAATAGTAATAATAATAATAATACTAATAATAATAGCTTCTTTATCGTACCATCATGAGGTTTCAGTGAGTTCATGCAAATACTCAGAACCACATATCATACATAGCAATCATTAGAAAACTTCTATAGTCTTTAATTGTGTTCCAGGAACTGTTCTAAATTTAAGCTAGCACCTTAAGCTAGCACGTTTTCTTTTAATTTGTGTAAAAGACAGACTAGGTTTTGCTTTCAGTAATTTATATGAGAAGTAGGTTAATGGAGGTATAAAATATCTGAGACCCTCTGGTGGGAGGTGGTCAGGTTGTCATCACACGTGACGACTTTCTGGAGGCCCTGCCCATGCCCAGTCTTGTGGGGAGTTTATTTACCTTCAGGGGCAGTGGTGTTTTCAGAATTTTCTCTACCCTGGTCAGCTGGGTTGGCAACTACACTTCCACTCTTTGTCCTTCGAAGAACACTCAAAGCTCGATTTATTTTTTTGAAAGATCTGCTTCTGATAGTGGATCGTTCAAAGGGCCGAGCTAAGGAAAAGAGAAAAGAAAGGAAAGTAGCTTGCCATTCATAGAAATCCTCTGGTATGCACACATCTGGTAAAGATACATACAATAAAACATGAACCGTAGTTGACTTTGAGGTGGTAGGATGATAGGACTTGCCTAGCTGTCTTTTCTAAGTTTTTGACAATGCAATATGTACAGTTTGTTTGAAACTGCATATATCTCACTTTCTGGACTGGACTGAAGAGCCCTTTCCTGGAGCAGTGTGGTTGGGAAAGTACTGATGTGGAGGGAGGAATGAATCATTAGGTCCAACTTCCACCCCTTTCACCAAGTCAGATTACACACATTTTTAATGATCGGAGGCATTCGTGGCTTCATCTTGCTTTGGAGAACTAGATATTGGATTGCCACCAAAACTGCCAGGATTTATTTCTTCTTAAAACAACATTTCTAGAACTTTCCATGGTTCGTATTCCACAGAGGGCAATCCCAAGACAAGGAGCCTATTCCAAGACAACTACCCACTTGACTCACCCTTAGTTCGGTTATTCCGGCCAGTGTCCATTGGGCTGGTTTCTGATTGACCATCCTCTGCTGTGGCCACGTAGGCAGGGTTGTCTAGGCCAGGTTCGTCCGTCATTAAGGAGATGGTGGCAGCTGCAGAAATCTCTGAGGAAAGTGCCGTTGCTGTGAGACTTGCACAGCCATCTGGACAGCCATCTTGGGAGCGCCTCTTCCTGTCTTTGGTCAGACCATAGTGGGAGGCACCTTTGCAGCTGTAACAAGACCAATGGAAGGTGAGAAGGTCTCATTGTTCAGATGGGTCTTTTTAAGTACCGTACATACAGCACTCAGTACTTGAGTTGTTCATCCTCTGTCCTGTTCACATGTTAGGGCCTTGCTGACCAAATGAATGAATGATTTGAGAAAATAAGTTTTAGAAAATGATTATTGCATTGTCTTTCAGCAATCTCTACATGGGTCCTTGGGAGGCAAGTTTATGAAAGTTGTCAGAGTATACACAAGATTAGGGATTAAGGTTGATGAACTTCAGCTCTTTGGAATCAGTAATTCCTTCTTGCTTGTATTTATTTTCTCCACAAAAGCCCTGATTCACACGCCCAGCCCTTTCTTTGGGGTTTCCATTCCCAGAGCATTGCATATAAACAGGAAGCTCCTCCAGACACCATCACTGACTGTCCTTGGAAACAGAATCATTCTCCCAGTTAAGCACCATTTACTCAGCACCATTATTCTCTAGAGGTAGACCTGCAGACTTCTATTTTCTATCTCTAGGCTAGGTCAGAGAATGATCAGAGGTAGGGCAGAATTTTTTTTTGTTTCATATTGAGAAATTAGAGTAGTTTTTATGGTCTTGAAAAAAAGAAGGTATAATTAGAGAAAAGAGGAACTCTCCCAAACAGCTTCTATGAGGCACATATCTCCCTAATACCAAAAGCAAACAAAGACACCACCAACAAAGAAAACTATAGGCCAGTATCCCTGATGAATACGGATGCAAAAAAAACCTCAACAAAATATTAGCAAATAGAATCCAACAACTCATCAAAAAGATCATACACCACGACCAAGTGGGATTCATTCCGGAGATGTAAGGATGGTTTAACATTCAAAAATCAATCAACATAATCCATCATATCAACAAAAGAAAAAATAAATACCATATGATCATATCAATAGATGCAGAGAAAGCTTTTGACAAGATACAGCACCCGTTTATGATGAAAACTCTCACCAAAATGGATTTTGAAGAAACTTTCCTCAAGATAGTCAAAGCCATCTACAACAAACCCATGGCAAGTATTATCCTCAACGGGGGAAAAACTAAGGGTCTTCCCTCTAAGATCAGGGATAAGACAAGGTTGCCCATTATCACCACTTCTGTTCAATATAGTACTGGAAGTACTTGCAATAGCAATTGGGCAAGAAAAGACATTAAAGGCATCCAGAGAGAAAAGGGAAAAATCAAGCTCTAACTATTTGCAGGTGATATGATACTATATCTCGAGAACCCTAAATCCTCTACTAAGAAACTCCTAGAAACAATAGACTTGTACAGTAAAATTCCAGGCTATAAAATTAATGCCCAAAAATCCATGGCCTTCCTATATGCAAATAATAAGACAGATGAAAGTGACAGGAAAAAAACAAACCCATTCACAATTGTGCTCCAGAAAATCAAATACCTCGGAATCAGCCTAAATAAAAAGGTAAAGGACTTCTATAATGAAAACTACAAACCACTACTCCATGAAATAAAAAAGGACACAAGGAAATGGAAACATATCCTCTGCTCATGGCTAGGAAGAATTAACATTGTCAAAATGGCAGTATTCCCCAAAGCATTATACAGATTCAACGCAATCCCTATAAGGATACCCATGAAATTCTTCAAAGAAATAGATTAAGCACTCCTGAAATTTATATTGAACAACAAATGCCCATGAATAGCTAAAGCAATTCTTGGGAAAAAGACGTGGGGAGGCATTACTGTCCCCAACCTCAAACTCTACTACAAAGTGGCAATAATTAAAACAGCATGGTACTGGAACAAAGGCAGGGCCGCAGACTAATGGAACAGGGTGGAATATCTGTACACACGACTCCAAATGTATGACCATCTAATCTTTGATAAGGGAGCAAGAAATGTGAAGTGGAGCAAGGAAAGCCTCTTAATGGTGCTGGCATAACTGGACAACCACATGCAAAAAAATGGGCTAGACCTCAGCCAAACACCATGCACAAAGGTCAGATCAAAATGGATTAAAGATCTCAACATCAGGCCAAAATCCATAAGGTACATCAAAGACAAGGTCGGCAAAACCCTCCACGATATTGAGGTTAATGGTATCTTCAAAGATGATACTCCTCTGACCATCCAAGTGGAAACAGAGATAAACAAATGGGACTATCTTAAATTAAGAAGCTTTTGCACCTCAAAAGAAACAGTGGTCAGAATACAAAGACAATCTACAGAATGGGAAAGGATACTCATCCATTACCCATCTGATAAGGAGTTGATATCAAGGATATACAAAGCACTGGTTGAACATCACAAGAAGAAAACATTCAACCCCATCAAAAAATAGGGTGATGAAATGAACAGAAACTTTCTCAAAGAAGAAATTTGAATGGCGAAAAGGCACATGAGAAAATGCTTGACATCACTAATCATCAGCGAGATTCAGATAAAAACACCAGTGAGATATCATCTCACACCATAGAGACTGGTCCACATCCAAATGAACAAAGGCAACTGGTGTTGGCACGGATGTGGTGAGAAAGGGACTCTCCTTCACTGCTGATGGGAATGCCGACTGGTTCAGCCCTTTTGGAAAACAGTATGGACAATTCTCAAAAAAAATTAGAAATTGAGCTCCCATTTGATTCAGCAATAACACTCCTGGGAACATATCCTGGAGAGACAAAGAAGTATAGCCGAAATGACATCTGCACTTCTATGTTCACTGCTGCACTGTTCACAATAGCCAAAATCTGGAAAAAACCCGAGTGCCCAAGAACAGATGACTGGTTAAAGAAACTTTGGTACATCTATACAATGGAGTACTATGAAGCTGTTAGAGAAGATGAAGTCATGAAATTTACATACAAGTGGTACTACATGGAAAGTATCACGCTAAGTGAAGTGAGTCAGAAAAAGAGGGAAAAACATAGAAAGATTGCATTTATCTGGGGAATATAAAGTAACAAAATAGGAGACTAACATCCAAGAATAGTGGAGATAAGTACCAGGAGGTTCATTCCATGGCTTGAAGGCCAGTCGCACATGCCAGGGGAAAGGGCAGCTCAGATAGAGAAGGGAGCACCAAATAAAAGGTGTTGGGAGGATCCTCCCAGGATGGAAGATGCATGCTGAAAGTAGACTATAGACCAAACATGATTGCCACTCAATGCCTCTTTTGCAAACCTCAGCAACAAAAAGGAGAGAGAGAATAAAAGGGAATGACCTGCCACAGAGGAGGGATAGGATAGGAGGGATGGGGGTGGGTGGGAGGAATACTGGGATCATTGGGGATGGGGAATGGGCACTGGTGGAGGGATGGGTACCCGATCATTGTATAACTGAAACCCAAGCACAAAAACTTGTAATGTCCACAACTGTACCTCATGGTGTTTCACTAATAAAAATTGAAAAATAGAAAAAGAAAAAAGAAAGCTGGAGAAACTTTTTGACACCTTGGTGATGGTGGTGGTGGTGTGGTAATATAGTATGCCGAAAAACATACACATTAATGTCATTGTAAACCATGTTACCTCAATTATCATAATTTCTCAATTTTTTTAAGTCATGATCTTTGTCATGGAAGAAATAAATACATTTTGCAACTAAAAAAAAGAAGGTAAATCCATTCACTATATTTGTTTAAAAAAAAGAACAGACTAATGATAAAGAGACCAGCTCTGATATGGTATAGATAAGCATTTTGCTACACATTCCAATGCCTTTACAAGTTGTATCAGTTGTACCCTACATGGTTGGGGCTTTGGTCAAACAGCAATGACTTTACTTCACTAAACTGTGTTGAGAATGCAGTCACAGACAACTGTAGAAGCATCCACAATTTTTGTACAGGCAGGAATAACACAGGTGAGTGCCTTTAGGACTTGCATATAATGAACATGCTATATAAAATTATTTTAATAAATTAATTAATTAAAGAGAATTGTGTCCATTTGCACAATACATGCAAATAACTCAGAACTCAATAACAGTGGTCTTATTTCAAAAACAAATAGAGAATCTGAATAGACATTTCTCAAAAAATAACACACAGATGACTACAGGCATTTGAAAAGAATTAATATTACTAAACATCAGGAAGATGCAGATCAAAATCTCCATGAGAGCACCTCACACCTCTCAGAATGGCTATCATCAAAGAGAGGAAAAAATCACGTGCTGAAAAAGATCTTCAAGAAAACTGGGTTCTCCTGCAGTTGTAGCACTATGGCACTGTCTTCCTATTGTTCGATTTCCTCGAGCGGTCACCAGTAACGTCTCCATTGTGAGACTTGTTGTTACTGTTTTTGGCATATCGAATACGCCATGGGGAGCTTGCCAGGCTCTGCTGTGCAGGTGGGATACTCTCGGTAACTTGCCAGGTTCTCTAAGAGGGACGGAGGAAGAACTACTCTATGATCCAAAAATTCCACTTATAACTATTTATTCAAAGAAGGCAGAAACACTATTTAAAACAATATATGCACCCCAATGTTCATTGTAACATTATTTATGGTAACTAAGATATTAAAATCACCTTAGTGTCTATCAAAAGATGAATGGATAAAGAGACAAAAGTGTGTGTGTGTGTGTTTGTGTGTGTGTGTGTAGACATACCCACAGACCAATGAAATAGAGTTGAACATTTTGACACAGACTCTTAAATATAAGATCACTTTATCTTTGATAAAAGAGCAAGAAATATGAAGTGGAGCAAGCAAAACCTCTTCAACAAGTGGTGCTGGGAAAACTGGGCAACTACGTGCAAAAAAATGAACTCAGAACTCTCTCTAATGCTAGGCACAAAAATCAGATCAAAATGGATTAAATACCTCAACATCAGGCCTGAATCCATAAGGTACATGGAGGAAAATGTAGGCAGAACCCTTCATGACATTGAAACCAAAGGAATTTTCAAAGATGAAACACCACTGACCAAGCAAGTGGAAGCAAAGATAAACAAATGGGACTAACGTTAAACTAATAAAGCTTTTGCACCTGAAAGATACAAAG